CGGGGCACGGGCCGCAGAGGGGGTGGCCGTGGCGGGCCGCGTGTGCAGATCCTTGAGGAAAGGTCTGGCGGGCGAGGGTGCGCGGTGCAGCCGCCTCCTCTCGGCCAGCGGGTGCAGGTGGTGGTGGCGGTGATGCTGGCCGGCTGGCTGCGGCTTGGAGTCCGGGGCGCCGCCGCCCGTGGGGCCGTTCAGTGTCTCCATGGCCCGGGCGGCGGCCGCGATCCGCAGCTCAGGCGGCAGATGCTCCGGGCGGCGGCGGCGCTGGCGGTGGCTTGCAGCCTCCCCGCGCGCCGGGTCATCACTGACCCCCTGCCCCGCCCGGCGTGCGCCCCGCGCTCCCGCCGTCCCCCTCCCCCTCACTCGGCAGCCCCGGGGGGAGTTTCTCTCCCCTGGCTCAGGTCAACGGCGCTCGGCTTCTCCTCCTGGCACAGCCGCGGCGGCCGCTCGCATCCCTTGCACCGTGCGAGCGTTCGGAGCTCTGGAGCAGCCGCGGCCCTGGCACACACAAAAAAAAAACACTTGTCTGGCGGCGGCGGCGGCGGCGCGCGCCGGGCTCCTGCGTTCCGCTCCCCGCCCACTGCCAGTCCGCGGGGACCGGCAGCCACGGCTTCTGCCCGGCGGCTCAGACGGAGAGAAGCTGCACGCACGTTCCCCCGCTCCGTCCCGAGCCCCGGCGCGCACGCCCCGCCTCCTGCCAGCCAGCCAGCCGGGGAGGGGGCGGGGCGGGCTGGAGGGCGGGGCCGGGGCTCGGTGGGGTGCAGAGCCCGCTTGCCCACGCGCCCTCGCCTCCAAAGACCACTCTTTGCCTTTGGATATACTGGGGACACCACCCAGAGCCGGCTAGGGAGGGAAGGCGCTGGGTGGGAAGGGAGGGAAGAGGGCGAGCATCGGCCACTTGGGGACACTGAAGGTGCGAGCGGCGTGGAGGGCCCCTCTGCAGTGGGTGCCAGCTTTCTCTCCTTTCGGCCCAGCCCCCCTCCCCGTCCCTCTCCAGCCTCCCCTCATCAGTTCGCCCCCCAGGGCTTCTTTAAGGATCACTGGGTACCGGATGCAGCGTCAAAGCCCGGCACAGCGCTCCACAGTTGGCACCCCCAGTGGCCTGGGCAGCTCCGGGAGGGAGGAGCCGCTGTAGAAATAGGAGAAGCGGTTCGCCAAGCTTGGGGTCTGAAAGAGAGCTCACATTTATAGTTCCTGCGGCCTTGAGCCAGGCGCTGCTGATGCACGCTTTATCGTCCTAGTAACGGTCCCGAATTGGAAACCCTGTCTTCAGAGTGAGACACGGGCGCGAGGAGGTGAAAGCCGCTAGTCTGAACTCCGTGGCTGAGCCGGGATTCAAACCCAGGTCTACAGGCTAAATACATTAGCCTTAGAGCACCAAGGAACCTGAGTACAGTCTCCGCCCCGTGGGCCAGACGCTTGACCTTGGGAGTCTCGGATTCCTTCCTCACCTGTAGAATCAGAGAATGCCGATTCTGGCTGTATTCCGATTAAATGAGGAAATAGGAGAAAAGTGCTTTTGATAGATAGTGGGCGTGGTTCATGTCCCAGGCTTTCCATGGGCAATAGAGGTAGCGAGGACAAGTTTAAATCCTTTCTCTAGCCTTGGTGTTTGGGAAACAGGGGAAATCCTGTGTTTTCCTGAAACGGGCCAGTCCACAGCACGACGTATGGAGGGCAAGGCTTAGATCTAAGGCTGTGGAGGGGAGACGGGAGGATGCTGAGCCTGATTCATCTTTGCTAAGAAAGAACCCAGAGCAGCAGAATGGGGCGGCTGTGGCATAAAGAGAAGAAATAAGGAGTGGGCAGACTTGGAAATGGTAAAGAAAAACTGTACTCCAAAGTCTGTAATCTTAAGGACAGAATGGCCCTACTTAGCCGGAACTGTCCGAAGCTGCAGGAGAAACTGACTTTTTTTTTACGTATAAATCTGGAAAGTCATGCTCCGGGAAGATACCATGTCTTGGGGCTTAAGCTCAGACCCTACTGACACCTCCCCCACTCTGCTGCACTTACAGGCCTGGACTTTCCGAATCGCTTTTCTGGAAATCTTTTGAAAGGGAGACACACCAAATGCAATCCGTACTGAGTAGCCTTTGAGTCGTATTCCTGAGTTGGTTCGATTGTGGGCCAGGAGAGAGCCTAGAGGCCGGCCGCCACGCTTGATTAACCGTGTCCGCTAGAGGGCGCTCCAGCGTCTCCCTTCAGTACCAAAGTGGCCACTCCAGTCCCTCGCCAGTGACCTAGAACTCCCACATTCCTGAAGAATTACGTTCAGGACTCTAAGCACAGCATGCTACCTCTTCAGACTATACACAGTCACGCAGAAATCCACCCCAAAGCGTTGTCTCCCAAAAACCTCCACAAGGCTGGTACCCAACTTCCTTTTCCTTTAGAGAGGACAGGTTAGGGTGATGGATGCTGCTGCACCTGACCTGGGGCGTCAGGTAATGTTTTGTTTTTCTGTTTTCTGTGAGTTGAAAGAGTCAGGTGGTTGTGGGGCTGCTGAGATGACTCACTGGAAACGAGTGTTTGCAGCGCAAGCCTGTGGACTGGAGTTCCAAGCCCCGCCCCCAGGTAAAAAGCAGAGCATGTCTGTGGTCTCCTTTAACTCCTGGAGGGAATGGATCTGGTAGATCCCAGGAGCTCACTGGTCAGCCAGCCTAGCAGAAACAAATGTGCTCTGGGGGTCTCAAGAAAGTGAAGCAGAGAGAGAGAGGGGGAAGACAACTGCCCTCCATACATACGTGTGCATCATGGGATGCACACTATACATACAACACCACACACACACACACACACACACACACACACACACACACACACACACACGGTTCTGCCACCTGTGGGCAAGAAAAAAGTCGACTGTAATTTGAAAAGAGATTTTTTTCTGTTATCAAATTAGTCTAAAGATTCATGGTTTATAATTTAAAGGAAACTTAAATTCCTCATTCTGTAGAACAACAACCAAACAAGATGTGCCTGTACCTGGTTGGTCCCTTTGCCCTCAGATGTAGACCTTTCCTCAGCCCCTCATGTGGAAGTGATGAACCAGACTGCCTCCACCTTAGGCTTTAAAGCCATCTTATAGTAAAGACAAATTAGGTTCATTCCTGTTTGTGATTAAATCTGTTTCTCAAGGATCAGGAATCCTATGCTTCACCTGTAACCTTAACTACAAAAAGTCCTGTACTGCCTGCTCCAGGAAACAGCGACCATGTCTTTGTTTCAAAAAGTTGTTATAACTAGGGGTTGGGGATTTATCTCAGTGGTAGATTACTTGCCTAGCAAGTGCAAGGCCCTGGGTTCGGTCCTCAGCTGGGGGGAGGGGCGGGGGGGGGGG